GGGGGGGGGTGCCTTCATAGATGAAAGGGTCCAGGCCAGGGGGGTTTCTAAGGTCTCATCTTGATCACAAACTTCTCAACAGCCAAGCACAGGATTTTAAGTACATATCATTTTCTCGCCTTATGTACAGTGTTTCAAAGAGCAAATGATACGTAGCAACTAATCTGGTAATTTTTTCTTTTGGTAATTAATATCACAAGATATATAGTGTACAGACTGCTGTCCCTTGGACAAACAAAAATACAAAATTACCAGATTGATCAAAATCATTCAGCCCTCTACAAAGTGGTTACATTGAGCTGACATGTAAATTTCACAAAACAGCTCAGAAAATTTCACTGTACCAGCAAACTTTTTTTTTTTTAATTGTGATATGGGTATTAATTAACATTATCTCACATACCTAGTGCACCTTCTAAAGCTTTTAGAACTGGATTGACCAATTGTGATAATTCTGTTTGGACATATATAACTTTGGAACAGGTGTACCATTTTAACAAAACTATTTCCATGCACAATTTTCACCTGTAATTACATTTGAGTCTGCTAAATATACAGTATAACCCACTAAGAGATTTCTACTTAGCTAACCTGCTAATCTGCTGTTAGCTTCTTGTCTTCATATTGTCCCTAAAATGGTGACTGTGAAAAGTAAACATTATTAGGGCAATAGTATTTACCACCGCAGCACAAAAAACAGTCGAGTAACACTGAGCTATTTCAAGTCCTTTGTATTTTCAAGTATTTATTCACTTTAGGCCCTAATTTTCCTATTAACATTGTGTGTTGGAAACTAAACCAGAGATACTGGCAGAAGTTATTTCACAATATTTCTTACCTAACATATTCAGAGATCAATATCTCTTCAGAATGGTGCCTTACAAATGTCCCCCACTGTGCTTTAAACAAAATGAACATGATTTCTTATTTAGGAGGTTCTGTGAGATACATTTGGGTTCCTGCTGTCTAGATTGCTCTGTCCCCATTCAAATGCTATGCACTTTGTACTCTTGAATAAAAATTAGCAACCATCAATCAAGAGTGTAAAAAGAGTGAAAATACAGAACTGAATACACTTCTCACCTTCCTACCAACCAGACCTGCACATCAGATAATAAATGTACACTTCCCCGAGTCATCCAGGCTCTTAAATGGGTGTCCATGCGTGTGATCATACATGCATCGCTGGTGCTGCACATTTGTCTGTCACCTTGTAACTTTAGTAGGTCGATTTATTGTATAATGTGATATATCCTGTGCATGGATCGCCATAGCTACTAGCTCTACCTGAAGAATACTAAGCATGTTTTCAGGGAGAGTGGGAATTCATTGGCAAACCTGTAGATCCTGCTGATCTCGGGCAGGATCATGAGGAACCACCACACTCACTCACTCACTCAGGACACCAGTGTGGGATGTAAACTCTCTGTCTTAAAAGTAAAAACGAAACGCTGTCCATAAATCCGTAACTGACGTTGCTCGTAAACTGCTTTGGATTTTATTGGAAGATTTACAGACCCTGATTCAGCTGTAATGTATCAGCTGTCGGATGTTTAGTCCCTGAAGCGCACACACGTGTAGGCAAGCACACGCACCGGAAGCACAGATGTACGGACACGGGACGCGCGGACATGGTGGCGCAGCGCCGTGCCGCCTCACTCGCGCACCGCCTCCGTGAGGCAGCGGTCTGTGGCGTCGCTGCCCTCCTGCCGTTGCTTGCGCCCCTTGCGAGGATCCACCCATGAGTTATGGATGACGGTGCCGCTGGGGGCGGGGTCCACCTGCAGCAGCGACACAACGCGCTTCTTGACCCGGGTGCGTAGTGCACGGCGCAGCTTCTGCCGCGTGAAGGCGTACAGCAGCGGGTGGAAAATAGTGGTGCCGTAGGCGGCCGCCAGAAAGCAGAGGCGGAGGCGCACCAGGTGCTGGCTGGGACCCAGGCTCAGGATGAGTACATTCACCACCGAGATGGGTGCCCAGCAACCCAGAAAGGTGGAGATGATGATGAGCGACATGCGGAAGACACGCCGCTGCCGCTCTCGCCGGTCCCGGTGTCGGCGGACGGCCCGTCGCAGCGCGATGATGGCCGATACGGAAGCGTGCACCCCCATGGATGTCGGGATGGGGCCAGGGGTGGCATCTCCCGCAGTTCCATCAGCTGCCACTAGGGGCGCCGAGGACATGGGAGGAGGTGAGGTGGCTGTTGGCGTGGGGGAGGGAATTAGAGGAGGCTGCGAGAGGCGCTGACCTTGGCTGGAAGACTCTGCCCTCCCCCTGTCTTTCTCCCCCGCTGCCGAACCCTTCCGCCTTCGGCGCAGACGGCGCCCCCTGCAGCCCAAGCTGCGAGGACGCTGACTCTTGCGAAGGTGGGAGCTGATGCGGATGTTGAGAGCCCGCAGAATCTTGGAGTAGGTGACCAGCATGACCACTACCGCGGTGAAGAAAATGGGCACCTCCAGTAGCAGGTGGTAGTAGCCAGTCAGCTCCACGGCTGGGTAGCCAGGGCCTCCCACGCACAGTAGCGTCCGATTACGCCAGGCCTGCTCGCCCTCGTCCGACAGCCCCGAGAGGAATTCCACCTCAAGGAAGGGCACGAAGAACACGGCGAGCGAGATGGCCCACACCGCGGTGAGCAGAAGGGCGGCCCGGCGGGGCGTCAGCAGCCGATTGGCCGGCCGCACGGAGATGTCGTAGCGGTCCACGCTGATGACCAGCACGTTGATGGCTGTGGCCACACTGGCAAAAGTGACGCAGGCCTCATGGAAGCAGCAGAGCAGCGCCAGGTCACGGCCCAGCGGGAGCAGGACCACCACCACCGTCAGCGGCAGGCAGAGCACGCACACGATGACATCGAGCACGTGCAGGTTCACCGTCACCATGTTGCTGACCGAGTCAACAAGGTTGGACTGGGCGCAGTAGAGAACCAGCACCGTCAGGTTGCTGCTGAAGCCCAGGATGAGCTCCAGCATGAGGAAGCTGGTGAGTGAAGCCTGGAAGCTGACTGGGTACGGCAGGTACCAGCCCGAATCCAGGCCCGCCCCAGCCGAGCCCTCTGGGCCTTCCTCCCCGGCCACCCTGGCCAACCCATCGCTGGTTTCCGGATGCTGGCCGTAACTGTCGGTCTCCATGGTCGCTTCCTGCTTCCCTCAAGCATAGCAGGGCCCGTAAACGCAGGCACCCATAGCCCAAGCCTTCTCACGGGTGGCCGGACAGGGGCAGCACTTCTGTGGTGGGCCTGCAGGTGTCCAGGGAAAGAGAGAAAGAGAAGTGATGCGAGTTACAGCTACCAAAGGGGGTCAGCACAGGGTAGACAGGCAAAAAGAGGGGTAATGGAGTGAGTCATAAGGACCCGACCACTGGAGGGGGAGAGGCCAGTTGATAGAATGTATAAGATCATGGGGTTTTGTTAGGGCTTGAGAAAGTCCAAGAAAATGCCAGAACATTGCATCGGCTTCTCTGTGTCCTGGCAGCATCGCACTGCGTCAAACCACCTGTCTCCCACTCTCAGGAAGAGAAAATGAGATGCGTCTACCGCAGCAAAACTGGTGAGGAGCACGTGGTTACATTCATAAGCTCTCTGATATCGTCTCAGCACTGCCCCCTAGTGATGACAAAAAAGAGCTAATGTCATTTTTTAATCTACATTTCATGTGGCCATAGATGGTAGAAAGAGGTGTACAGTAACTTGTTTTTTATTTAAGTCATTTGGTTCCCACGAGAGAGACAAATCAAAGGAACACAATCAGAGTTTCAGCAGACAAACCTTCACATAAAAGCCCACCTGGTGCCCAAGCGGATTTTAACAGATAAGGTTACCGTGTCAATGCCACTGGATGGTAGGGCAAAGGAGAATGGTTGTGTTTTCCTGTGTAACAGGGACAAAGGCCCCTGGTGGCTTATTAAAAGTGCCATTGCGGAAGTATTGAAAGCACCTGAACCCAAGCCAAGGGCCCCCAGCCCCTAAGGAGACGCACAGCTCTGTAATTATAGTTCCCATGTGTGGCTTTGCTCTCACCTTCTCCTTAGTCTCCAGGAGACCAAGCAGTTCCTACCAGCTGCATGAATGTAGCACGACATCCCTATCACTGTGCTCATTCAGATGGAGGTATATTGGTGGCTTGCTGGGTAGCGCTGTGCCTCACACCTCCAGGGCTGTGCGTTTGGCCCCTCCCCCTGCCTCTGTCTGTGTGCTATATGCTTGCTCTCTCATGTTCCTGTGCTCCATTTTCGTGCATTTAGGTGAACTGGTGTCTCCAAATTGTCCACAGTGTGTGCATGTATCTCCGTGAAAGGACAGGTGTCCCCTACAGAGTGTCCCCTCCAGGGTGTCCCCTACAGAGTGTCCCCTACAGAGTGTCCCCTCCAGGGTGTCCCCTACAGAGTGTCCCCTACAGAGTGTCCCCTCCAGGGTGTCCCCTACAGAGTGTCCCCTCCAGGGTGTCCCCTACAGAGTGTCCCCTACAGAGTGTCCCCTCCAGGGTGTCCCCTACAGAGTGTCCCCTCCAGGGTGTCCCCTACAGAGTGTCCCCTCCAGGGTGTCCCCTACAGAGTGTCCCCTCCAGGGTGTCCATTACAGGGTGTCCCCTCCAGATGGCTGCTTCCAAGGCAGGGGGGAGCCCCCTTCAGGGTGTCTCCTGACTTTTCCCCTCTGCTTCCAGGCTCACTGTACCTCTGCACTTAACAAGTAGTTTTGAAAGATGGACATGATCAGCACATGCAAAAACTATTTCCTTATGAGTATGGTTCGGTGAAAACATGGGTGAGACAAGTATCAGGGGAAACATCAATATTATTAAGACATCACAAGTAAGGGTTAATGCACAAGGAGACATGCATTCTACATTTTTAACGTTCAATGTTATCTACTCGTTCGTGCCTAAAGTACCTAAATCTTCATGTTTATGAGCATAAAACATTTATTAGTAAAACTGCTTCACTACTATGATTTGCCTGGATGTCACTAAATGTATGGTTACAGAAAATCAGCCGACACCCGTTCTGACCAATCAGGTTCAGGAATTCAGCAGTGCCATGGTACAAATGGAATAAATGTTGTTGTTATAATTATTATTATTATTATTATTATTATTATTATTATTAATCTAGTGCACTTACTGAGAGCTAACGGTGCCAGCAGCCCATCACTCAGTCCTGCCTTTGCCGACCTTTTGGGCTCCATTGTGGGAAGCGTCCACAGATGGAGCCGTCTATCACCGGCCTGGACGTTTTGTGCGCCATCGCACCGACTCGCTGAGCACCTTGTCGGCGAACACCTGCTCGCCGGCTTGGGGCGGGCCTTTGCCAGCGGCTCACTGAATATCGCCCATGCGGCCGGCCGTGATGCAGAGAAAATAGTTTTTTCTCCGTAAAGACAGATGGGCTGGAAAGGGGGCTGGCGACTAGCCGTGCGGGACGCGAGCACATCCCATACCGTGTCAATATGCCTCAGAGCAACCTCATTCCTGCTCGTGATGCTTCTCTCTGCACATGCCGTCCCGGCACCCTTTGCCCCTGAAGGGGATATCTGGGCCCTGTATTCATTTGGGATGCATGCTATCAAGCTGCAGGCAGGACCGTGACGGTCCAGTCGCTGTAGCAGGCGTCCTGGTGGCCAGTGCTGACCCCGATCATTACGGCAGCCCTCTGCTCCGGGCAGAACCCGTCACACCGGCTCACTGCTGCTGGGCCCTGCTTTACACATCACTGCTTTCCCATTCATTGCCATATTTTACACTATAAGTCATTTGCCTAGGTTGTTTTTCTAGTTACCTATAACTCATTTCACTGCATGCACTCCACAACTAACAGAAATATATATTTCCTTGACCAACTGCTGTTAAAGAGGGACAAGGCATGCTTTTTCAGAATCTATATTAGATCCACCCAACGACACCATCTAGAATTGTTATTCAAATTCTATATTCTTGATTATTTTTTCTATATTCTTGATTATCAGGACAGAATGCCAGTCCGTCGCAGGGTTTATACAGACGTTCACTACAGGAAATTCTCAGTTGATAGTTTAAGTACACAAGAGAGGGAAAACATTCCTCAAAAAGAGAAAAGTGGGATTCAATCCTCCAACGCTGGTGAGCCAATGCCCCCCCAAGCTCATATGCGCAAATAAATTCATACTGAAACTCACAAACTCATCTTAAACTCAAATTGAAAGTCCCCCACTGAAAAGCACCCGAGCACATAGACAACTGGAATGGACCATTTCCGCAGAGGGAGTCCAGTGACTGGGAATTTTTCTGTTGGTTCATTCCACCTATCACTGATTCATAGTATTAAAATGTATGTGTTCTGCTCTTTCACAAGCACAGTAACTGTTACCAGACGCTGAGTCCTACAATGCACATATCCAAATTTTATTTTTATTGTCTCTTTAACTTTCGAGTCCCCCCGCTGTGGTTGACCTTTTTCCTGGCTCTGCCCACCTTCTGTAAATTTTCATCCACACTCAACCCATGATTCTGCACTCCATCTCTGTTACACCCTCCCTAACTGGAATGATCCCCACAGTCACCATAAATGTTTTACTGACGCAATCCCGCTTGAAAAGGATCCAGGGCAATTCGTTAACAATCCACCGACATTTCAGGCAGCTGTTAAATGTAATGACCTGAAATCAGATCTCCTTAGAAGATCTCAGTTTTGGTTCCGGATAAACTTGAAAAGGCATCTAAGTTAGCATTTCCGTCAAATCTAAAAAAGTTAGGAATGAAAAATGATGAAACAAATATGAAATAGCCCAGAAAGCATGTCTTTGTGGGTCAGATCCTAAGCAAAAACTGTCAGCGCAAAAGCCAAACTCCACACACAAATCAGAGCTATATTTACATTCTACAACCCAGGTTTTATGAAGTAGCATCTTTACCTGCTGAGTGAGTACACTCCCCACCGCCCCACCAGAAATGTATTCATGACTGACTGTCAATCTTAATTAATTTACGCATCAGTTCATATTCACCTTCCCTTGCTGCACTGAAGATAAATGATGGGAAAAACTCTCATAATGAGAACTTGGCTCAGCAGACCTTGGAAATAAAGAGTGGCATTAATCTCCAGAAAATTAACCAAATTTAATCAGCAGTGCGCTGGGTTGCTTGTGTTTGCTAATACTGCGAATAAACAGGACGTCTCAGCATTTCATCGCTGCTGACTGTATCAGCGCGTAAACGCACTTCTGACACGAGACAAGGCAGCACAAAAGCATCATATAGCTGACAATCAAAGCACAGAATATGTTGGCGTGGTAACAGTGAGGCCACAGTTGGCTTGCAGAACTAGTGACACTGCAGTCAGAGGATACGTATGACTATATGTACAGCCGTATTAAAATCAGTTGTTGAAAGGATGGGCCATTTATTTATCCACCAAATATAATCAGTTATAGCAAATATCACTCTAACAGTAAGGATGGAGATCAGTGGGTCCAAGAGTCACACATCTCATCGGTCAGCAAGTGAGCATGAGAAGCTGTCAGAGGCTCAATATGTTAGGCTATCAGTCAGTCTGTAACGAGTCAGTGCAGAGATCGGCCAGTTTCAGTGGATCGATATCTTAGCAAGTGTTTGTGTACCATCTGGTGTATGAGTCAATTGCGATGTGACTCATCCATCTTCCAAAGGCTAATCGGGTACAGAATGGGGTGCCAGTCCATCACAGGGCACACCAGTTCACCTGACTGTGTCCGTGTGCGGTGGCAGGAAAGACAGGAATGCCTGAAAACTCCAAACATTGTAAACAATCAGCCAACAAATGAAATCTTACATTAGTATAATAGTGTTAGTGTTGTAGCAACAGAGACCTACAATAGATACTAGGGATGGTAAGATTCATTGATTCGCATCGGTGCACCAGCATAAAAATTCAAAATGCAATTGCCCCGATTAAAACAGTGTGCACCAGATACAAATTGGAATGAACGTGGGATGCATTGTCTAACATCTTTGCATCGGTAAAACCCTTTAATATTTAGAAGTGCAACCAACAATTTAGATTGATTCCCCCTCTCTAAACTGTTTCTGTATCTGTACCATACTGAATTGCATAGCATCATATTCTTTTGCATTGCATTGTGTGGAATCCCACTGCATCGCAATAGGGCTGAATCAGATGGTATCCCATTAATAGTTGCTACATATGTATTGGATGGTTGGCAGTGCACTGAGATGTGCATCTCATCGGCCTCAGTCAGTTCTGCACCCAAGGCTCACTCACTAGTTCACTTGTTCTACTACTGTGGTGATACAAGTGATTTGATTTTATTTGTGATGGAGATGAGCATCTCTGATAGATTCACAAAGAAATTCTCTGTTTTGCATTGAGCAAAGTGCCCTTGTGTCAGTTATTATGCACATTTTAGGACCAAAAAAATTGGTGTCTCATTTATAATCACCATAGCAACCAGTCATCCCCCCAGATTCCCAGCTGCCCTGTCAGATACTGTCCCGCTACTGACTGCTACGTCTCTGGGTACGTTTTTCCTACAACTCACACCCAGCTCTGCATTTTGCACGGGGGAGGCCAATCTCCTTTTCATAAGACAGCGGCGGGGCGTGTCAAACCCATGGGAGGCAGAGGAGGGAGGCGCGGATGTCGAAAGAGGTGCTGAAAATCACAGAAATACTTTTTCGATGCATCAGATGGAGGCAAGGGGGAGTTAGAGGGGGGAGTGTGGAGAGTGATGCCGAGAAAGAGGCTCTCATTCAGTCACTGAGCGTCTTAATGCACAGTGGTGCTACTCTCAGCAGCAGAAATGCGAATAGCAGAAGGCGGGTGGATGAGAGGGGGCATAAGCTGAAAGGGAAGGCAGAGAGGGTGAGGGAGAAAGGGGGAGAGAAGCAGAGCGATGTAGCTGAGTGCCCGGGGGGGGGGGGGGGGGGCACGGATGCTGCGGTCCGATGCTCAGCTCATTACAGAGAGATTTCCAGCTGGCAGCGATCGTGAGCCGCCTGCCTTATTGCTGCCCGGCTCGGCCTGCCGGGAAGGGGGGGGCATGAGATTGGGGGGGAACTGTTGAGTGGTGGAAAATGAGGCCCCTTGCCTCACCTGACTCCTGAGACGCACCGTGGAGACTCACCGCCGAGGTGTGGCGCGGGTGCCAGGCGCAGAGAGGGAACACTGCACCCGTCCCTTGCTTGCCAACATCACCCAGCTGGTAAATTTAGCAGCCCCACAAAGGGGGGGCATGAAGACAGTCACCCTGGCCTAGCGGCCTGAGGCTCGCTTACTTCCTCCGAGCTCCTTCACTTACTCCCTTCGCTCCCTAGAGGTCCTGCACTGTCACCGCAGGACCCGCCCCCCCCCGAAAAGCTGACGGAGCTCTTCCGATGGACCGCAGCGTTCAAGAGGGCCCTCTTTGCACGCCTGTTGAGATTCTGCTCTCTCGAGGTGCCATCGCTATTGAAGGCCAGACCTCTGCCTGAGCTGTTCTTTTCTCTTTGACTATCAATATTTCAGCCTAAGAAGCTGATCGTGCAGCTTCACTTTCAAGAAAGTGCATTTCTGACAGATTGGCTCCAGCATTCAGGGGCAGGGAGGCCTGCAGCTGTGCACTAGCTACAGCAGTATGTAACCCTAAAGTACATAAGGTGAAAGCGCAAAAATATAAAGTGAGTTATTTTCATCTGCAATGCAAGTATTGATGGAAAGTGAGCCTGAAATGTATCTAAGGAAGCACAGGGTCCTGGACAAGGTGCCAAGCCATCAAAGAGTGAACTAAGGGCAAAGGGGACATTGATCCACCTAAACCACATGTCTGTGGGCTGTGCAGGGAAAGGAGAAACTGGTGCAAGAACAGGGAGAATGCCCACACACACACACACACACACACATGTAGGGAAAACATATCCTTATGGGGACCCCTCATTCATTTCAATGGGAAAAATGCTAACGCTAACTATGACAACCGTAACCCCTACCCTGCCCTAACCATAACCATAAGTAACCTAACAAAATACAAGAGGTTTTTAGTTTTTTCATAGCAGTCACCGATTTTTATAAAATAGAGTTTTCCCTTATGGGGACCAGGAAACATTGTGTCCCCATAAGGATAGGTAAACCCGCTCACACATACACACACACACACACACACACACACACACACACACACCACACACACATACACACAGACACACATAGACAGACAGACACACACACACAGACACACACACACACATTCACACACAGACACACACACACACATAGACAGACAGACACGCACACACACAGACACAGACAGACACACACACACACACAGACACAGACACACACATACTGGTTTGTGGTGACTCTCCATTAATTTCTATGGGGAAAACTCTAATCCCAACATAAAGACCTTCACCAGTCCCCAGCCCTAACCTTAAGCCTAAGTAACCAAACAAGATATTATACTGGCAATTATACTTTTTTGTATATCTTTGTGGGGACCTGACAAATGGATCCCATAACGTCAAAATAATAAGTTTTTATCACATTGTGGGGGATATTTGGTCCCCACAATGTAATATAAACCTAATCCACACACACACACACACACACACACACACACACACACACTTGTGCAGAGAAGGGTTAAGAATGACATTCACAACCATGAAGTCCACAGCTACTCACTGAACTACTGATTCCATAATACAATGTTATTATTCAATGCTGAAATTATGACACAATTCTGTCTCTACAATGTGATGTAATGAGATAATGACATGTTTTTGCACAAAGGAACTCTGACTGCACTGGGATTGCAGCCAAACAAGTGTAAGACCCCACCATGGCCTGACAGGAGTGTGGCATGACAGCAGATCAGTGCGGGGTCCAACGAGGAGGCCGGCCGTCTGGTCCACTAATGCGGGTCTGAGAGTGACGGCTGTAATTCAGGAGAGGCCACCTACCAGTTAACAAAGTCGTTACAAAGGTAAAGAAAATGTATGAACTGGTGTGGGTGAGATCGGGGTCTTACAGAGGATGGGGTGCATGATTGAAGGCTGGGGGGGGGGTTCGCTTAGAACAGGGTGGCTGATCTCCCCGACACCTACACAGTCGTCCTGCAGATGTGCACATGAAAGCCAAGAAGGAAGCACTCTGCTTTGTGCACATCTCTGGCACAATTACAAGGAGAAGCAGGTGTATTTTGGGCTTTTGTAATCGGAAGACGAAAGGCACCTGCAGGATGTTGTACTGTGGTGTCGTCTTGACGAGAAGCCGATGCGGTGACCAAGAACAGCTCACAGCTCACAGCTCACAGCTCACAGTAACGGGGGACAGGGAGACCTGAGTGACCGGGCCGCTAATCCGACATGACCTTCAGTTACCCTCTGGCAAGGCCTCAGCTGGCCAATGAATCGCATCTCTGGCTGATCCAGGTCCCACTCAGACAATGTTTTTTTCCCCCACTGCAGCATTTCTGATGCACATCTAGCGGCGGAGCAGAGCGGCGGCCATCTGGAATGACCGCGCCATGTGATCAGGGTGACTCAATCCCCTAACCCCCTCCCCCCTTAATGCGGACGGGCCGCAGATGAAACAGCGTGCTCCTGCCTGCCTCGATGTGAAACCCAGGTGCGGCCGCCCTAGCGTTCTGCTCCTAATTAACTCCCTCGTTAGTGGAGGCAGCCCACCGGGGAGCCCAGCGGCTGTAGCTAATTGCAAAGTCTGCTTCTTATTGTGCGCAGCTACCAGAGAGGAGGACGGCGTCACCCCGTCGAGCCTGTCGTAATCTCCTCCAGGAGCTGCGCATGGGGCCAACGCGCAGCTACGACGTGGGTACGACCAGGCGCTCGACACGGAGCATGCTGAGCCACAAGCTGCCACTCGACACGCCACTCACCCAGCAACTAGCTGCGACTACGGGAAGTCAAGAGAGGATCTCCAACGCACATGCAGAGCCGCTAACCAACACTTACCACGGAGCATGGAGCTACCAAGGACGTGTACTCAGATCACTACCCAGACCTCATTTATAGTACTCATAGAGTCAGTAGTCAGTACTCATAACAGAGCAAATATTCCCAAAGAAACACTTGGGGAGGCCTATTCAACCTGAAACAAAAAACGTACACACTGGAAATTACAGGCTTCAAAAGTAAAGCTGTAGATCCCCACCACGGATTTTTTAAAACCCTTGAGCTTATAGTAAAACATGCAGTGTTAGTAATATTGGTTCTTCATGAAAGAACAGCTATCAAAACTAACAGATGAGCGCCTTTACTACCATTTCCAGTAAGGATTTTGATATTTGACAGCTGTAGGACAGTCACGCTGCCCTCTGTAAAGACCCTGAAGGTAACCTGCTGAAGCCTAGCTGACTGGCACACAAGGACTTGGTGGGAGGGGCTACCCCCGATGCATTAGATATAGGTTGGGGTCAGTACCCCGACAGGGATAAAGGGTTATATCCCACTGGAGTGAGATAGCAAAGCCACACTGACAGACCACCATACGCTGATGGTGAAGTACAGGGGCTATCAGCACACCGGAGTAAGAGATACATCCACATGCCGTTTATGTAGAATGACAACCTTTAAACAGGGGGTGGGATTAGGGTGGTCGCCTGGGACCTACAACTATAGTGATGATAAACTTTTTATGTAAATTCTTCTGTTGTCCTTCTTCTGCAGCCAAAACACATGTTGACTGATTTGGGAGGCTCAGAACTCCTGAGCGGTGGGTCTGAATTTAGCCCTCTTGTGTCTCCTGGGTTGCATCACCTTCGTCCCACATTGCAAAACAGCTGCCCTTAAATTGCCTTTAGTGTTCGTTTGCCGGTGATTGGAAGATGTTTCTCCACCCTGTGTCATTAGGCTACAGATTTAGTCTGTCATTTAGCTCATCTGCAAAACAGATACTTTTAGCAAGATGAACACTTGCTCTCACCATGCTGATTAACTGACCAGAATTACCCTGAAATGAAATTGGGAGGAAGTAAAAGACTCCCAGATCAGTAAAATCGAGACGGTGACGCAATTCCTGACTCCATGTCAGATGTAGCATCTCGTAACCTTGTTTGCCAGATGGACGTGACTCCATTCAGCAGACAGATGAGAAATGGAGGAGCATATGTAGAATGTGACCTTTCTGTGAAGGGTTAGCTGCAAAACGAGCAGCTGTCTGCGGCAGAACCAACAAAATGTTAGAAAATAACTTGATGAAAGATGCGATGGCAGTATAGTTAGTCAGGAAACCTGTTTTTGAAAGGGACTTGAGTACAGTCACCATAGAACAATATCTCATCCATTCATCCATCCATCCATTCTACACCTGGGTGCAGGTTGCAGTGGCAGCAGTCTGAGCAGATATACGCAGACCTCCTTCTCCTGCGTCTGCCTCGGGGTCTCCTGGTTAGCCATGCCTGAAGCACATTCCTGGGCAGGAATCCACCTACCTGAGCAGGTGACCACCTCAGTTGCCTCCTCTATATGGGGCAATCTACCCTTTTCCACTCATATGTGGAGGTTCTGATCCTCTTCCAAGTTGCTTTACACTCTGAAGTTGTAACTCATCCTCTAGGCCGTTTCTTAAGGATTGGGACCATCACCCCAGTCTGGCAATCCAGAGGCACTGTCCCCAACCTCCACGCAATGTCGAAGAGGCGTGTCAGCTAACAGAGCCCAACACCATCCAGAGCCTTCAGGGTGACTCTCATCCACCCCAGGGGTATCTGCTTTATGTTTCAAGCACACCTACACTGTATGTTCCAGCTCGTCTGTCCAGCATTTTCACCCACCATCTCATTCAACTCACCACCTGGTGTTGTTCAGTTGACAGCTCAGCTCCCCTCTTCGCCCAAGTGTCCAAGACATATGATCACAGATCTGATGATACAATTAAAAAATCAGTCATCAAGCTGTGGCCTAGTGCACTCTGGTGCCAGGTGCACTTACAAACACCCTTATGCTCAAGAATGGTGTTTGTTATGGACAATCGGCACAGAACTCCAATAACAGAGCACCGCTCAGGGTCAGATCGGGCCGGCCATTCCTCCCAATCACAACCTTCCAGGGTCACTGTGGGAGGCGACCATCTTGTTCCCAAGTTGTGGGCTCATCAACTCACACTGTCTGATCACACACCATGGATTTGCCTTGGGAGACCCTTCTAAGGGCAACAGCGCCCGATAATACCGCTCCTACGATCACAGAGGCACACAAACCGCTCCACGACGATAAAGTGACAGTTTGATGTAAAATGTTAGGTAAAAAAGTAAATAACGTTGAAATATATTATCTTCCAAGACAACCACGTTCATTCCATTGGCTAAAACAATTATACTCTGAGCTTGTGGCCTACACTAGCCCTGTGCACCCAGCTGCAACTGATGTCGGATAAGGATCTCGAGTGGGATTAATGGTAATGAAGATCTTTAGCAAGTCAGCCAGTCAACGTGTAAATAGAGCACTTTCCACTGGGCCATAAATGAGGTTGTTAGCTCTAGGGTCTGCAGTGGGTTCCAGCCTCTGTTTGATGCTCAGATGGGTGTGAACGAGGGGTCCTTTGGGGCTCAAAGGAAGAAACGTCAAGGATTGGTGGCTGAATTTTCAGGGTGTAGTCAGTCTTGGCCCAATTGCCTTATACCGTACCCAGGCACGATTGCCCCCCCCGCACATAACGATCTGGGCCTGAGCACACGCTTGTCATCACCGTGTGACTTTTTGTGATGAAGAAAACTGAGGAAGAGAATTCATGATTAATTCATGCCCTTATTTTGTGGCTTATTTGGAGTTGTTTTTGACACAATGGCCCTCTTATGGATTTCGTGAGGATGCAATGGAGCAATTTTTATTTAATCATGCTGCACATATAAGAAGATATTTTCCTAGATACTCTTGTCAGCCCAAATTTCCAGCAAACACTGCTCTAAACCAAAGATCTCTGCTGTAAATCAAAGAGATCCCTCTGCACTGCCGACCCGATCCATTCCAGGTCCAGTACATGTATGATGTACATGTGCACATGCGTGTGCCAGTGGCATCATTACCATCATGTCTGTGTTAGGTGCTTAGGCACGGTTGGCCCGTCACTGTCAGGCAGGACGACATGACTGCGCCAGACACAAAGGCTGAACGACCAAAAGAGCCTGTATCTCCATGCCCTTCCACCGCCATTAACAGCATCTATATACACACTTTATTAAGACTGTTTCAAACTATAACCGGCAAGGGGACAAAATACAAGAATTATAGAATTCTAGCTCTTTAGACAGTAATATAGAATAAAACTATTACAATATTCAAATATGGTCAAATTATCTACTTCCTAATCCCATAATAATAATAAAGTGCTCCTTCATTAAAACTTGCTCGCAGACTCTGCTGTTCACCCTGTAGGCAATCAAACTCAATTTAAACTCAAACAGAGCTTTACTAACGGCAGACAGATGCACCACTTCTTAATTTAGCTTGATTCCACCTGCTCTGCAGCTATGACTGTAAACACTCCAAAATAATCAATGAATTACATATTTTTAAGTTAAAACTAAAATATTGTTAATGGGAGCAAAATTCTAAATGAAGCATGGGGAATTTGCTAATTTAAGCGGCTTTTGGGCTATGAGTAGAAGGGTATAATGTCACTCATTGCCCCATGAAACGATACTACTGCAAAAAAGCCATAATTGCACAGAGCAGCACTTAAGCATTTTGCTAAAGCCCTGCACTCTCCTCCCATGCTTCTCCTGCTGTCCTTATCTCTCCAAAAGGCAGGCATATTTTTTGGTCTAAGGTTAATCCAAGAACCACGAAACAGAAGAGCTGCTATGAAGCCTTTTATCCCCCAAGTCTAAAGCAAATCTCACGTCTCCCATTTATAGAGACAGAGCCTCAAGGTCTGAAGGGTGTGGTTTTGTGTCAAATCACTAGTCTAGGAGTCTCAAGTAAAGTCTCATTGCCCTGCATTTTTTTGAAGCTGAAAATAAAAACTACAATAGGTTTAGCCATCTTTGAACGGACTTATGTTAACTCATGTGAGTAATCTTATTTTCCTCTGCACTCCTCTGCAATCAAACCAAATTTTATTTGAGCCAGCTTATGCTCAAAATTCACACACATTATCTGTTTTTAAATCTAAACCAAGAGTGAAGGTGGTTCTGGCTTAGCCTACTTCAGTGGGTCGTATCAAACTGATTTCTGAATGTTGTACTCTCTGGAGAAGGATTAAACGAGCATCATTACTGTACCATTATGTGTATAGTGGAGTGAGTCTATCTGTCTTCCAACTGCATATCCAGGACTGCCCATGTAAGGCAGCACCGGGATCGAGGCAGAGGTGCATTCTGGGCATGGCGCCACATGCTAATAACACAGAAACACCAATTCGTTTCTCTGTTGTTGGACATTTCTCAGGGGGAGGATACCTATGCAAAACGGTGAAAACATGCAAACTTCATACAAAGGGTGGGATTCAAACACATACCCAGAAGCATGAATAAGAGTGGCAGCCTCTGCACCAGAAGGAGCTCAATAATGACTTTATGAAGGCAGCGTAATTATATGCAGGTTATTCTTTTCAAATTCTCTCTTTGTAATGATTGTATTGTAAGATGTGTGGTATCTTTAATAATATTTCATTGATTCTGTTTTAAAATGTGATATCGGTTAAGGTAACATTACAAGTATTTCTGGCTCGTCTTCAATTTTTCATTCATTTAATTTCCAGTTTTATACAATGCTTAAGCATTTTGTAATTAACTGCTAACTTTAGGCTGCCATATTCGTACCTTTCATCAGTTTCCGACTCGTCATAAATCAGTATTTATCATTTTCTAGGGGGAAATCTTTTTATGTTATGAATTTGTATGACCTGTGTTAAGCATTCTCCAAGTGCCAGACTCTCTGATATTACAGACTCTTCTGTTTCCCACCTGCTTATC